CACGGCCACTGTTTCTATCACCAAAGTACACCTGTTATTGAATAACGTTTGAATCCCAAGACACCAAGTTTCGTCACCTATCATTCACGACGATTATTGACTGAAGCCTTTGATGGTTTTATCCGAAAACTAGGGCTTTAACTGTCTTTCTTTTCTTTTCCCTTTCTATTTAACACAATTTTTTCCTCTCAAAACAAAGATATCTTTAACATATTACTACAGTGTACAATTTCATGTCTAAAATTATCAAACGAGTATAATGTATCTTTCCACATAAATGTATTAAAGTAGTGTTCTTTTCATTTTTTGTTTGCGTTGTAATACTAACATAGGCCTGGTATTTAATGTGGGGAAAAATATGAGGAGCTAGGTTTCAGAACTTCGTTTGCATTTCACATTAAAGTACATACTGCAGAGAAAACGATGCATTAATGCAAATGCACACAAAAGGCACAAGACATTCGGTATGCAGTTTCAATACCAAAATGCAAGTACAGCAGGTGTTATTTTGTTATCCGTTTTAATACATTGTTATCCGAAATAAACCATTGTTATCAAGGCAGAAAACGATTGAGAAAACGATTCTTATTTATTTAAACACGGCGAAACTACATGTATGCGGAAGACGGTTAAACATGACAATGGCTGAAGTCATGTTTGAAATTACGTGGTCATATTTTTCACAAAATCAGCAACCGTGAAATCTAAACAGAAAACAACACTCCCCCTCTTATTTACCTATAATTTTACTAAACGTCATCATGTGGTGAACAATTAACACACAACTAGGTTGCTTTCCAATAAAGCCCTCATCTACTCAGAGGCTTTAATATTAACCATAGAATACACAGAGTTTGATTAGCCAAAGAGGGCGGGAAAAAAGGGGGGTTGGGTGGTTGCTGCCCGAGAGTTTGAAACTATCAATATTCGGCAGCGAGGTTGTCTTTTTTATTTTATTTCAGTCTGAAGCCAGAAGGACGTTAACTCATACGCTTTAACACAGAGTTATGAATGACCTTCTGACTCAGAATGGAAAGTATTTTGATGAGTAAATTGCATTATCACTATGATAACATGCCTAATGGATTAGTCACTCCAAAATAAATATGGAAATCTAAAAAAATTGTTGATACAAGGGCAAACAACTTTTGAATGATGTAGCTCATTTTAGATTACTAGAATACAGTGGATTTATAATGAAGTGGCTGACTATTTCGTAACTCCACTTTAGTATATTCATTGTTTGAATACATGCTGTCCAAAAGCGGACAAGAAATAAATGCCCCCCCCCCCCCCATGATCAAGAAATGCTCTTTTCTACAACTAAACTAATCAACATTGAGAAGATGGATATTTCGTCTGTAAATTTAAAGTTACTATTTATAAGTTTACTCACAATCTATTTTCCCAAAAAAACTGAAGTCTGTGGAATTTCCTCGAAAATAAATAATGTCAAAAGTTATTTTGATTGATAATTTTGTACCAGTAAAAATAAACGTGTGACATTGAAGTGAATATCGCATGACATATAACATCGCAGACGAGTGGCGTTTCCGGAAATATGTTATGCAACCAAGACAAAAATAGAAGGGGGAACAACCCCCCCCCCCCCCCTCCCCTGTTGCGCCATATACAAAGGCCAAACAGGTTGATAGTTATTGTTGTGAATGCCTCTGTGGTGCTGGAAGATTAATGACAAGTCATTAGGTAATTATGTCTCAAGTTTATTAATCACCTGACTAGACGTGTATGTATGTCTATAATATCAACACCACATGGATGTAAGATATGCATGACGGATAGCTCAGTTATATAGACATACACTGTTATACATTGAGACAGCATGGCGTGATGATATGATATAGCGTACAGAGGTAAGATGTAGACTGGCATCCAACTGCCAAATTTAAAGGCACACTGCCATACTTGTAGCTACTTGCTCCCTCTATATAGAAAACTTCCCCAATCGGTGCCTGTTGGTCCCCCATGATCCTCTTTTTCTTATGTTAAATGAGAGCTGAGTTAATGAGATAGCCACCTGTCACAGTGACCTCGATGGCTTTCTGTGTGGTCTAATCCCTTCTGGCCCAGTAGTGGTGACGGTCTTTAAAGCAGTAGCCTAATTCCCCCACCTATTGACTTCTCTCTAACTCCTTGCTCTTCCCTCTATAATACCCATGTCTCTCCAGTTGCCTACGCGATGAGTCTTATCATAAACAATAACATGAAAGATTTGTCTACCAGCACATAATACGTGACCTCAATGATGTCGTTTCGTAAACGTACACGCATGTTATTTGTCTTTCACAAGTTTTGATATCGCGATACAGCTATTGGTAATAAAAAGTCTCATATTTAACTCCCTGCGAATATGGGGCTCCCAAGTTCCCAAAACGTTAGAGTGGCTTTTAATAACAAATTGCATAATTTATTAGCTTGATTATATTCTTATCCCATCCCAACCTATCCGGGGATAGCCCTTGTTAGGCCTCTTAATGTTTGAATTGTATTTACTCGGGGGGGGGGGGGGGGGGTGGGTTCCCCATCACAAACTGCGCAAAAACTTGATCATGAGAAACTCTCTCATCGTTGTGGTTCGAATCTACGGTTCTAAAGTACTGTTTTATTTGCTCAGAAGAAAAAGTTGTTGTTGATTAAGGTACACCGTAAAATAAATCGTTGAATCTCCATAATTATGTCATGGATTCCTTGTGTACCCCAGTGCTACAACTAAACCGTTCATGATTTATTTTGTCGGCGCCTGACCCTGTGTGGTGCAGGGTGCAACCCTCCATATATTTCAGGCTGTGACCCATGAAGCTCCCAGGATCAACGAAATGAGGCGCAACATTTAGAAAAGGGGGCCAGAATGTTGCTCAGAAAGTGACTTGCAAAATCTAATCAAGAATTTTGAAATATATACAGGCCAGGTAACAACTCCGTCTCTCAAAAAACATGTTGAACGAGAAGTGAAAAGGGGCACTGACAATGGCAATAGAGATGAGGATTAAAACAAAAATTGCCCTCAGGAGCAGTCGGTAATCCCGAGCGGGGGTTGAGCAGGAGTTTCCAAAATCACTTTAGATTTCTTTGGTAATCAAAAGGGACGAAAACCCAACCTCTTAAGATTTGGCATCAGTTCTATTTTGGAGGGGAATCCCCGGAAAAACCCACTTCGTTTACTAGGCAGGGGGTGCTTAGCAAGACCTCCCCCAAGAAACAACCTGACTTCAACCATGAACCTACTAATGCTTCAACTGTTCAGGCACTGCATAGGAAACTAAACAAGTTCGATAATACCGGCGTGGGCACGTACCCCCGAATCAATCAAATAAGGAAAAAGAAATTTATGAAGAATGACAACAAAAGAGAAAATGAGATGTAATTATCATGGTTATTGCCTTTGACGTGAAAACAATTCCGTTCGGTTGCACCCTATTTTTACAATACATCCGAGATCACATATTTCCACGGGTCAATGCAGTTGGGTTGTCACCATATACCATGATTGTAAAGAATTACATATTCTGGCGAGGCTTTATAACCATATACATGTAAAACTAACTTAAAGAGAAGGTTGAGTTCTGGGAAGAGATGAAAAATAATTTGTGAGCATTACTCATTCTTATTATGCAAGTGTGGAAGAACATCAGTTAAGACATGTTCCCTGAAAAGCATGGCTCTTTAAATGCCTTCATATTCTAAATATGCATGTAACATCGTAAAAATCGGGGGCCGGCTTTTTACGCCACGTTGTCGTGTAGTCCCATATACATCTTTCTGTGCAAGTGCTTGTAACTTCACCAAGACTTGGCCACATTTCTTATCATTTTGATGATTCCAGAACCTTGCAATACACACAAATTCTTATATGCTAGATGATCAACCTTTTCTGGTCGGTTCCACACCGTTTCTTTCACAATGGAATCGCATGGCCAGAACTCAACTTCATCTTTAACATCCTTGGTATAATAAAGCACACATATTTGTTGTACACAATAAATAGATAATACTGATGATATTGCACGCCTGCCCTCCTCCTATTCGCTTATTGAAGTGATTTCTTAAGACTATTTGCTATTGATACATGTATGTACATGATTTACAAGAGCTATGCGTTTCAAATAATTCTAATAAAATTTCATGGGGGGGGGGGGATAAAAATTTAGACCCGTTGCAAACGAGGCGTTATTCGGGTTGCGTTAATACATGCGTCAATCAAACCCAGGAAGGAAATATACATACACGTCCGCCAATAATGCACAGCTATGTTGCGTCAAAGACCGATGGGGAAGGGTGGGGGGGGGGGGGGGGCTCTGCAAGGAAGCAATGCGTTATGAATGTAGAAAGGCCGAGCAATTATGATGACATCGAACAACAAAATAGGGCTTATTTTTGCGGGTAGCCATATGATACGCACGACCAGGACGAAGCTAAAATCAAGAAATTAAAAACTTATACTTAAATATCAATATCATTTGTGTTTGTAATTTGATTACTCCCGCCACTAATAGACAATCCATGTTAAAAGGCATACGTTTGCACTGTGGTTCAAGAACGAGTTAAAACGCATAGAGTGCTGAATATTATAAGGACAGTCTAATACAGACCGAACAATAATAATTGTTCAAAATAATAGTGCGGACATTCAACAACTCTTTGCATTGCTTTATGCGCATTGTATCTTACCACACAACGTAGGATATAATAGGCCTATATTCATGAGCTATTGAGATTCAAGTTTACTTTATTCAATACTTTCATTAAAATGTACAAAGGAAAACAAACATATAAAAGTTAAACAAATCATATCAAATATAAAATGAGAATAACACAAGCGGAGAAGACACAAAGAACAAGGGGGACTTTGAATGCAAGTATTTGGAAACAAGAGGGGAAAACGCCTTATGTAAAACTCTGTCTCCAGTGATTGTATACAAAACTACACTGTTTGAAAATAGTCTTTCGAAACGAATATATGATGATTTCGGTAAACTTACATGTTTTCACCATTGTGCCGATGCATTGTGACCGAAAAGCCGAAGTAGGAGCTAGTGTCACTGATGTTCTGCAAGACCGGGCATTTAAATCCATATTAAACCCTTGCACGACGGTCAAGATTGTCCACAATGACAGAATGCGAGTAAAGGAAGATAACTCCGCCATGGTTTTCTTCCTATTCCAGAACCAAAATCTGAAGAAAGCCGACTCCCCTTCCGCTGTGCTTCCACTGCACGGTGTTGTCTGCTTTAAGTTTTAGCACTTTCAGAGACACCTCCTAAAAATACCAGCACAAATGTTGTTTTCAGCAGTTTCAACTGTTATCAGTGAATCCAGCCAGAAAGTAAGCTCAGCACCCCTTAAACCTGCAATTTCTAAAGCTGATTGTGAAAGATCATGACAATGCTCTGATTTGCAACTTCCACGGACGAATCGTGTTTGGTTGATCACCTTCCAATAAGAGAATTTTATAAATCACCTCCCACTCACTAGGGTTTTTTTTTATTTAATCACCGAGCTGCGCGGACCCACCTTGTTCAAGCACGAGTTTACCTCTGCCTATCGCAATACAAAGGAATGCAACGATTGTATTTATACTTTGTTTCCAAACGTGAGCGTACACCGAGTTTAAGCGCAACCGCCGATGGTCTCTATTCACAAATTAAGGTCATGCCAATTGTTTACTTATATTCAGACTGAGAGAGTAATAATAGATACAACTGTCAAGTTTCACTCCTTTCTGACAACCAAAAAAGGTCAGTTATTAATATTGACAATCAGCTTGAAATCGAATATGAAAATGACGACAGTTCAAGGTTTCGGAAGCTTGGGTTGGATTCCAAAGGCAAAGTTCTTTTGCAGGTCACTTCTGAAAGTAATTAAACCGTTGGAAGCGAGACTTCCACACAAAGTGCGAAATAACCATCCGAATCTTGGAAAGCCGATGTAACAATCTTAATATTTGTATTTCCGCGTAGATATTCCGAGATAGATTGCTTTCCTTATTTCCCCGACTCACTCGATTAACGGCAGACAAAGGAGATATGCGCATGGGCACGATGAGGCCTATATTGGTGAAAGTTGGACTTGCAGAAATGAATCTTATGGGGACAATAATGAAACTCCGCTCCAGCATTTGTATCCGTTGAGTGCCCCAGGTCGCATGTCATCTAATCACATGTATATCCAGTCTTACCGACATTAATTGCCTCTATATTTTAAAGGTCCTACTACGTCTACGAGATAGCACGTTCGTGGATGTCATACATGTATGCCATAACATCTATCTTTCCCCGTCCAGACGTTATTTGAGTACCTTTGAATCGTGAAAAGAATATAAGACGTTTAAATATGATTGATATCCACCCCTCGTTGCATTGGGGGAAGTCTCAATCATTGAATCGTATACCATTGTCACGTTGTGAGAGTAGATATTAGTCTATTTTAACAGACCCTATATCAAAGGCTTCATCATGATACAGCCCATGCATGCTCTTCACATTTGTGCTCGTTTAATTAAGAGCACACAAACAAAAAGAAGAATGTTTTGATGACTTTGTTGTCGTCACCAAACGCGGGAAAGCATAGCAAACTACAAAGGATTTACAGTGAAACTTGTATATGAGGACCGATCAGGGAAGCCAAGAAAAGTGGTCTTTACGTATGATGTTGTTTCAATGGGAAACAACTTTTAGGGGAAACACAAAATGTGGTCTTTTTAGACATGTGGTGTTTCGATACAGGTGGCCGCTAAAGCAGGTTGACCGTAGTTATAAAATCTAGTTAAGGTTTCATGATTATTAATCTGCCTAAAAGGGTATGGGTGGAAGAAAATTGGGTCTGAGTTTGAAGACTTCACACTCAATTGCCTGGCCAATCAGCTGAGGCGTATCGGGGCATTGTGTTTATCATCTCAAGGGGCGGGGCCCTGGATTTAGCCTCGTAACGACAGAGAGATGGGAAAGAATGAGCAGTATAAGGCGGAAACGACCGCTTTTTGAATGAGTAGATGGAACATAATATTTTGATAATGGAAAACAACACCACCACCATGTTGTAATAGCACGATAAACTCAATATAAGTCCAAAGTGTCCAAAGTGTAGTATATATATATATATATATATATATATATATATATATACACAGTCAAACATGCTTTAGTGATCATCTGTCTACACAGACCACTTTTTGTGTTTCCCTTGGGCGGTCTCTATAGACAGGTTTGACATATACAAACAAAATTATTTTGTTTTAGTTTGAGTATTTCATTTCCAAGTAGGCCTAGTTTCATTTTGAAGAAAATTCTTTAAAAAAAAAAATGTTTAAGTAAAACTGATAGATAAGGTTAAGAATATTTTGTACTTTGAGATTCTAAAACTATTAAATTCAAGGAGAAAGTACATCTCGCTTAACCTCGCAGTTGACAAGGACTACACACCTGTATGTGAACACGGGACTGCCCAAAACTAATTTTGTTTCAAATTGTATGTGAAATAATCTATATTATTTGTTTAATGTTCAAGACAAAATCAGTCCCAAGAAACATGAGAACCAAAAGTTGTTAGCGGAGCTTATCAACCCCTTGTTTCTCCAGAGGTGCTGTTTGTACCCCCCAACTTTGGAGCAATCTTCCCCATAAAATACGGGAGTCCCCAACGTTAGAAACATTCAAGAGTAAACTTAAGACTTATCTGTTCAATATGTAATGTAATCATATTTCGTTTGTTGATTTATAAAGTGCTATGTACATATTAATTATTATTATTATTATATGATTGTTTTTAGGAAGTTGTTATTAGAATTATGTATCATGTATACTATTGTTTTAACTTGTAGGTTAACATTACTTTGTATTTTCTTTTACCCAACTCTTCTTTTCATGATTATCAAAAGTGACAATAATGAACAAATTCGTTGCTGTGTGAACATGTTCAAATTACAATGGTTCCAGCGCAATTATCCAGGAAATAGCAAATATAATTGCGCCGAAACCGAGACTGTATTTTGTGAAATTCACACGGAACATAACCATAATTTGGTTTGTGCGGTGTTTATAGTGATAATCATATTTGTTTGATTGGGTAACCTACATGCCAACTGAGAACTGACCTTGTCGACCAATACAATATCCTTGATTTATGTGGCCTTTCAATATTGAGGAAGATCATTACATTCATTATTACTAACCCACATAACCATAGTCAGTCACAATCATCTTAAAAAAAGGCAACTTTAATCCCCCTTTATCAACTTTTCGGATATCTGTTGCGTTAATACAAAAATATCTATGAACACGCATTTGTATTTACCGGTCATGATATTTTCTTATAGAAAAATTGCCCCATTATTAGTTCCACGACGCTTGCGGGAGAGAAATTTACAATTTAATTCAAAGCTTAAATCCATTTAATCCAGGCATGCCAAGCATAGCAACATTTAATCTCTCTATTCCTCTCAACTATTGTCGTATTGTTTACTCTCCCCCTCTCGATCTTTCTCTCTATCTTTGTTTCTATCCTCTTTTTATCAGTCAGTCTCGATACTACCCTTTCTCTCTCACTATTCTTATTTCTTTATTTTCCTCTCTCTTCCCCACCTCAGCGTTCGCTTATTTTGCCCGCATTGCAATAATCCCAGTTCCTTTAGCATTCTTAACCTTCTCTTACAATCGTGATCATTCAGTATTTGACATATTAGGAGAACAATTAAAAAAACCATATTGATCTATATTATCAATGAACACCCTGTTATGGCAGCAACCATAACACAACAAGGAGTATTGTAGATTTACAATTTACGATATGCAAATTTACATACCCCCCCCCTAATCCTGTTTAAAAACAAAATCTGATGTGCTAAACGTGTATAGATCCATCAAAATCATGGTTTATATTCCGAATAAGGTCTAACATGTCGACAGATTAGGAGAGGGGTTTTAAATCCCTTCAACGCCCAACCCGCATATATATTTATACTACCGGATACATCAATGATTGAAGGAACAGTATACCTTGCAATTGCTATTTCCGCCTCTTTTCCCATCGTTTCCTGAGCAACCAATCAACGAGTTTAACCCCTTAACTCTAAGATATTTTGCTTATTATTGTCCCAATGCATAGTCGAATGTCTTGAGAGATTATATACCAAGGAGCTTTCGCAGGGCAGACTTTTGTAATAATGTTATTACAGAAGTCTGCACGATTTGATTTTGATTATGCAATTATTTCACAATGTTCATACTAATGTTAAACCACCAACATTAATGTAATTCTGAAATAGTTTTATTGCATGCTAAAATACAACAATTGATTTTTTTAGGGTTAACGGTCGAATGCCCTACGCTAATAATATTATTACAGAAGTCAACACGATATGATTATTATTATGTTTCACAACGTTCATACTAATATTATATCATCCAAAATCAATGTAATATCTGACATTAATGGTTTTACTGCATGCTAAAATGCAACAATGCCCTACGCTAAGCCAGCTTCCTACATTTCGAACTTCAACCATAGAGTACACACTATACGTATACCTAACCTTAACCCTTAAACTATACTAAAAGAGTTTGAGCAAACCACACTATTGCATGGTCACGGTTCTCCGTCTCTTCGATGCGCATCCTCACCATCCAAGGCCACTTCGCTTCAGCCTCGGTCACAAATGCCATTACGAACTGCTACGAACGCCGTACGAACGATTTTCAGACAATGGAAATTCGGGAAGACAAAGGAAAAACAGGGAGATTCGTACGGAATCATCGTTCGTACGAACCTTTGTGACGCGTTAGCGTATAAATCATTACCATATGAAGAAATATAATTTATGGTGTACAAACGTGACATCCAAATGTTACAAATTTACAGCGTACAGAACAGTGTTATCGCCCTTCTGTAGCTCAGGAGAAGGACTATCCATACACATGAGAATCATTAAAGTCAACATAACGCCATCATCTTCGTTTTATTTAAGTTTTACTAGATAGGGGATCAATCTTCTGTACAAAAGTGAAACTTTGTGCTCCACCAATAAATCATAGATAAGCGAGGGGCGTCCTTTTCATTTTAATGGAAATCGGAAGGGGAATATCCAATCTTGTTTGATTTATGATATTGAAGCGAAAACGAGAGGTTTCAGAATATCCCAGTTCGTCAAATTCTTTTCCCTAAACGATGAGTAAAAATTATTTATTGGAGGGTATGGGAGAATTCGGAGTGCCATAATGTATAATTCCTCTGAACAAAACTGAAACATTGCACTCTAAAAATAAATCACAGTAACGGCGAAACATCAATCTGGAGATGTGCAGGGGAATACCTTGTCTTGTATGATTTAGAATATTGAAAACGAGAAGTTTCGGAAAATCCCAGTACATCGAATTATTTTCCCTAAAAGGTGAACCAAGGTTATTTCCGAAAGAATGACACTATTATATGTCAGGAATCAGGTTCTCTGATATTTTGAAAGCCATTCTTTAACACCTTTATCATCCGATCATGTTTAGAATTATTGGAATGTAAGTTTGAAATTACGCCTACCCTTCGGGTATAAGAGAATTTGGAGTACCATAATGTAACCTATCCCACGAGTCATACCCATAGGTATGGTTAATTGGGTTGAGTGATAGGAATAGTGGGAAATGTGCTTGGTTGGTTTGTTTGCTTGATTTAACTGACTGCTAAGAAAGCATGTGTATGCTTGTACATGTAAGTAAGCAACCGGTAGGACCGACGACGGCTTTAAATCCCCTCCGAGGGACTTAGTTATGAGGATCAATGCCTAACCAAAGGGCATTAGCGCATCGAATTGGTTTCGAACCCGGAACATCCAGGTTACGAGACCGCTGTTCCATACCACTGAGCCATCGCGCCTCACTAGTGGATAAGTCCTCGGACTAAGCAAAAGGTAAGGGGTTCGAATCCCTGTCACGGCACTCACGTCCTGTGTCAAGGCACTAATCTACATTTGCCACGCTCCACCCAGGTGAAGTTAGTACCCGGTTCATGTAGTTCCTTGAAAGAGAGAGAGAGCCACAATGGCAGCCATGTTATAGGAGGGTTAATAACAGTGGAGCGCCAGGAGTGTCAAGTATGAAATATATGTGCGCTATAAAAACCCGCTCTTAGTATTATTTTTCATAAATTACTCATCTATGAAAAGGAAAACCTCTATCAATATAGTAATCGTAATCATCAATTTTTAAGTATCACAATTGCCTTGTTTTATTTTGATATTGCCAAGGCTACGGTATTTGCAGATCTATTATTTAACTTCCGTTGCTATGTTCAATAGCATAAATCATGACCTAAACCGTAATTTCATACTCGATGAACTTTTACCCAGTGT